TTGTAGGAGCAGAAAAGTGATCGGGTACACACATTACCTTCATCGTTTCCGGTTTCGAATTCTCTCTTGCGATCTCCTCTAGATCTGGAGTAAGCACTTCGCTCACATATCGATATTCTAGTAACTCTTCTTTGATAAATGTTGAGATCTCGCGGAGAACAAATTTCAGGTTCTGTTTCCGTAGAACCCAGTTATCCTTTGCATCGTCTATAGACTCCGGAAGTCTGGAGTTAAAATATTCTCCCTCTGCATCCCGCAAGATGCTCCATAATATCCGACCGTCTGCGAGCTGTCGCAGTTCGTGCACGTTCACTATCTCAAAGGAATTGATCTGTTAGACGAGTAAGCTTGATTCCGACATGAGGGTATGAGTGGGGAAATAAACAAAGACTGACCCATTGAAGCAGCGCTGAGGCTAGCTCTGCGGAAGTACTCTCCATAACGGAGGTGCACGGTGTCGTTCGTTGTCTACTCGCACTGTCTATAAGTGGGGGTGTTAGATGGGTGGTTGCAGTTTTGTAAAGATGTCCCATACCAGCAGCGAGTATGTTTCTTTGTGTGTAGGTGCTGTAAGCATCATGGCAGTTTATTTGGGCAGCATGAGGGTATATGTATCAGGTTCACCGGCGTTCTTCACAATGCGATGGTTCGTTTGACATAGTTTAACGTGACAAGGTTCGACCGACACGCCAAGCCAGGCCACAGAAAGTAAAGGTTATCGTTTGTTTAACTCTTTGTCTTTCTACCAAAACCAACACAACATCACAAGAGAAAAAAAATTACGAAGGAATAATAATCTCACACTTCATTATCACAACGTTAGTCATCGTATGCACTGCACTGCACTGTACCATACCTTATCTTCCACCATTCTAGAACATTACTAAATGTCGCTAATGAATATCAATGATGTCGATACCTCCACGGTCACCATGAGAAAATGGTCCAAGCAGGAGTACCTATCATTTATTTAGCAACTCTTTGAACCAAAAGGCTCTAGTACTACATTTTTAGAAGAACCAATTCAAAACTATCATCATATGGCCTTCTCGAGATGGCCAAGAGGAACTAAGGAGAACAGACAGATACATTGTATTCTATATCTTTCTGCTCTTTCTGCTACTTGGCTCCATGAATTCCATTGTAAATCAAAACTTCAAATGATATACACAATGCAATTCCTTATTTTAAGCTACTCTACCCCCAACAGTGCTGACCAAGGAATCAATGACAACTTCAAACAGCCCAAAGTCCCAGACCTAGGTCCGAAATCATACTCGTTGAATCTCTGGACGGTCGGCTTGAAGACATATTCCTCATCTATAGTGTTATTCTCCAACCAAGAGACCAAAAGCTTCTCCAAACACTGGACACGCAATCCTAAAACTATCCCCTTTGCTTCGCGCATAGCTAACGCCATACCTAGACAAAAGCACGGTATTTTCTTCAAGAAGAAAATTCCTTCAGTACGCACATCTCTCTCCCAATTTATCAAACCTACGCTCAATAATTTGTCCCACCAGATTCATCATGGTTCCCGAAATCACCGTAACACCTCCCACGCCCACCTCCTCCCGAACATTTGACGAAATACTGGCGACCAATCACGATCCTCCCCAACAGGGACCACCCGACGCACTACAAGTACCCGAAAGGAAGTTGCGAAGGGATAGAAGGAAGAGGTCAAGGATTGGAAAAGCGGCGGAAACGGCCGTCAAGTACTCCTTGACGCCCTGGAAAATCGCCGGTCACGTGTTGGCCACAGTGAGCGATCGGCAGAAGCGACGGGAAGGTCCTAAGGGAAATGGGGGTGAGGGAGAAAAGTCCTCCTAGAATCGATGGAGTGTAATGATATCACGAATGAAAAATGGGAGGGGGGGTTCAGCATGTTTTAGAATAGTCTCATACCGTTGAATGAAAGTAAACTCTTCGGACTCTCATTTGCAATCACCCGTGTCCTGTTCTGTTCATTTCCGTATCGAATAGTGAAAGGAAATAATGTAAGAGAAGGGAAAATGTAGGTATTATAGAAGTTGAGCATAGAAGCTAGGTATACCTTCAGAAACACAAAATCACGAAACAATCCATATGAAGGGGATATATTTCACTCAATTAGCACCAATTCATACTCATGACAGTCGCAGGTGGGTGTCCCATGGGTCATTCTACCGATTGTTCGGCGGTTGTGGATCAATAGGCCAACACCATCTCTAAGAGAGTGTTGCAGGCATAGACCAGGTATGCGATACAGCTGAGTTCCTACTGGAGGACGGCTCCAAAGTGCCAGTCGGAAGGAAGACGTTTTGGTACAAAAGTTACGGCGAGTAACGACCAATGCATCCGTATCCTCCTCTCCGGCTGTTGTGTGAGCGAGTGCGGCATAGCTAAGTCGTGTGAATTGACCAGCGCCTAAGGTAAATTGTACGTCAAGACGTAGCAGAGCTGCTATCCGAGTCGCGACCTGAAGGCACCTTGTGGTATCTCCAGTTTTGATTGATACTTCGTACTCTTCTAACAAATATCGTAAAGTGGTGACAAAATCTGGTATCTCTTTAACATATTGAGGGAACGATCGTGGTATGTCCAGGTCAGCACTGCTCCCATGCGGGTACAATGTATATTCGACCTATTGCGGCAACGAAACTGTATGGGCAGGTTCCAGAAGTGTAAAGAATGTGCTTTACCGCACCGTTGAATGCACTGCTTTCCTCCCTTTTGAAAGATGTGTATCCGAATTCCATAAGTGTTCCAACTGATTCCAGATGCATCTTGATTTTATTGTCTCGAACTATTTCCGTAAAGGTTGCAGGGAAGACGGTAGTTCCTAGTGTCCAAGTATTCTTTGTCATGCGTTCGTGGCATTTCAGCCGTGTAGCTGGTTCGAATACTTTCTCGCCGCTGGGAGCGAGCAACAACGGAGTAAAGTCACCTACCTGCAGGCATCGGCACATGACCCAAAGGCACGCTTCTGTTGGATTTGCTGGAATTTACGGCAGAACAGTGTTATAACTACCCAGTTGTAGGAAGCCACATATGGCCATAAAGCGGTCCCTGTAGTTTCTGCAATCTTTTTCGGCAAGAAGTCGTATAACAGGTCCGAGAGAGCGAATCTCTGTCGACAGTGGATGTGTGTGGTCAATAATAGAGGCACTGGGCATTCCGATCATTTTTATATTCTTTAGCGAAGAGGTCTATGAGCCCATCTAAGATATCTGAAACATGGTTTGGCAGGAGTTGGTACCCTTCAGTTAGCATGTAAACATTCTTACTCTTAGCATACTCCAATGTAACCCACATCCTTGTGAACCATCGTGCCTTGTAGAATATGGCGATATCGTGCGGTTTCTGACTTGGCTCTTCGGATGATCTTATGCTTTCAATACGGGTAAGGTTGATGTCGTCAAAATGGACCACAGATATGGTGGAGTAAGAGAACAGCGACGGAAGGTTGATTAAGAGATTTTGTTGAGTATCATATTGCCATTGGGGCATGCTGATGTAGTCGTGCTATATCTCCACGCACTCGTCGAAGTGGGCTGTCACCGCTAACAAAGTTCTAACCGGTACACCATAGACCAACTGAGCAGCCTTTGTAGAGGCTCGGTCTGGGAATTCGTGAGCTTCAGCAACCTCTTTGTGCCATACGTGCGAGATGGGAATGTATTCGATACGGTGGTATTTCATACAGACGAGGTGGCGGTTATGTATCCAAAGCGGAGGAAACTCAGAGGCGTGAAAAGTATAACTTGAAGGATCCAATTACAAGGAATCTAGTTCCAAATGATCAAGGTCGTAAATATGGAAAGATGGATCAATTGATATCGTTCGAATAGGCGGACTCCATTCATTGTGGAAATCACCACGGCAAACCATACAACATGTATCAAGCCCTCCAGCCCAAAAGCACTTTAGTAACCTTGATGTGTCGATGGATAGCTCTTCATCCCCCAAATGTACTGTAACTTTCTTTGTCGAGTTATTAGAGTAACTGTGCAGCTTCTTTTGTTGTTTGTTACGCCATCGTTGAACCACTTTACTGGAAAGCCGTCATCGTGGAAAGCGGGTTTGACAATGCGTCTGGCTCCTGTACGGTCCATTCAAGGAAGGGGAGAGCACGCCGTTAGGGTTAATCAAGACTTTATTCGCACTATCAAGTAGTGGCCACGATTCCAGATCGTTTGCATGATGTCTATCAGCAAAAGCCATGTCTTGGAGTGCCACTGTGCAAGCCACTAGAATGGATATGAAATTGACTGGATTGACATAGTGGACTAATGAAAACTTTCCGCAAAAAGCCAAACTTATAAGCACATAAGAGACGTTGAGGGGGGAAAAAGAGCATACTGGATTGCTCAGCCACACCATGCAGTCGGAGCTGCCGTTCATGAAGATATCTGGGGTTGCGCATCTATATGAAATCGTGATCATACGCACCATAACTCAGTCACTATTGAAAATTCAAGTTCTATATTGAGACCGGTGAACGGAAAAATGTCCATTCATTTGATAGGAATTAGATTGAATATACCACACAAAGGTAACCAGTGCTGGGGAAACTGGTAAATCGCCTGAAAGTCATGCTGTACTCACAATCAGGGGTCACATACCTGTTAGACATAATCTAAATCATTGCTATAATTCCAAGCTTACGATTTCAAGTTGACGTGACGAAAATCTTGGTAGGAATTATTCATATCCCAGGTATAATTCTAACTGTCAGATTTGTGATGCACAAATCGATGGGGAGATATCGCTTGATTGTTTAATGACTGTTCTAACGAGCGTTTAAATACATGAGAACATGCAGGCAACAGCGTTGATACCTACTAGGCAGCTGTGTCAAAGGAATGGTGCTAATAGCTAGCGTAAGGCAGTAGGAAATATACTTGATTATCCGTTACTACTAACTTCTTCAGTCTGACACTAACCCCGCTCTCTTGACCCTTGATACAGAAAAAATCGAATCATCCCTCCATATGAACACCTCAAGGAGCAAAAGTTATCGGCGGCCGGGGTCGAACCGGCGACCTCTTGCGCTTCAGAACCAGGCATGGCGAAGTTTTGTAAAGCAAGCATCATAACCACTAGACTACGCCGACGTGAGATAGGTCAAAAATCCACCGTGATATGCTTATTTATATGATAAAAGAATTCTGTAATAGGTAACCGTGGTATGCAGCTAGTCCCAGGTAAGCGAGAGCTAGTCTATTTTCGGCAAGGGGGTTCAAGAAAGTCTCCTCGCTCTCCAATCTCTTCACGACAGCACCCATAGAACTACACCAGGATTTTACCAAAGACTTGCGTTATCGGTGACTAGGAGCCGATTACTTTGTCTATATACCTTTGCTGTTCAAAGCGAGAATTGCAAGTGCGAACATGCTCGGTCCATGATCCTCAGTACAGCAGTTCCGTGTGTTGAAAATGAGGGAACTTTTTATTTGTACACAGGTATCTCATCCTGGCAATCTGAATGGCTGAGTTATATCATCAGAGATCAAGAAAATATATCATTATTCTCCTTATACAGTACATGCTAGATAACGGCTGAGACCCTGTAAGGACTGAAATTCGATTTTTGTACGGTTAATTCCTACTGTGGTTGGAGCACTTTCATAAGTTCTAGCCTTTTCGGTACAGTACCGTCAGAAACAGTTTTGAAGTGAGTGTACAGTAGACGGATAATCCCACAACAAGAGGGTGAAATCAAACCAATGTATTAGCACCTTTACTATATCATTGTGGGTTTCACCTTAATCCGGGACTCGGCTTTTTCAATTAGTTCTACGAAGAGCAACCACAAACGAAGCACTAACGGCAGCACTTCAAACCACAATTCCTCTATTTATCCTCTAGAACTATACAAGAAATATACAACCAAACCTCAACCTCTCCTCCCCCCAACTTTCGGCACAACATAATAAACCTGCTTACTCTTCTTCCCATCCTTCTCCCTCACCCACCCCACAAAAAACCCATTCCTCCTCTTCCCACCTTCCCTCTTCGCTTCCAAACCACTCTCTCCCCCAGACACCCGCTGATGCATCGGCATCATCCCTGTATAACCCTCCTGGACCCCCATATCCATCCCTTGTTCCACGCCCAGCGACCCCGTCCCACTCACCCCATCCCCCCCTCTCATCTCCTCCCTCCCCCGCGGTACCGACACCAGCCCCGTCTCAGGCACACTCCCCGACATGTCCACCCTGATATTACTCCTCCCATCTCTCGTCCTCCCCTTTCCCTCAGACCTCCCCTTCCTCCGCTCCGCGGACCCATCTCCCCGTTCCAAATACACAGGCGCCAGTGTCAGTCGAGCCTCAGAGCGCGATACCTGGGCCAGAGTCGGCATACCGAGATCGTGGTCATCGTGGTTAGGGAAAGGGGTGGTAGAACCGGAGGGAGACGGAGAGGGAGACGAGGATGTGAGACTAGGACGGGAAGAGGAGGGGAAATTGAGGGGCGTGAAGGGGGTTATGGAATGGGTTGGGGAGGGGAAGGGGGAGGTTGAGGGGGATAAGGATGTAGATGATTGCGAAGGGTGGGATAGGGGGTAGATTGTGAGAGTGTTGTAGGGCATGTTTTTTTTAGGAGCTTTGGTGGGTGGTGGATGGGTTTATGGTTGGTAAGTGTGCTTGGTTTAGTTGATGTCTAGTGTTTTGGGTATGAGATCTATTTTGGTGTAGTTGAAATGGTGGATCGGAGCGCTATTTTGTATAGGCGATTGGGGTGGCCGAACAATGGTCACGTTATTGTTAGATTCTATATGTTCTATCGGTGACAATGTTGGCTTCACAGACAATGAAATTTTCTATTGGGGAGCTCAATTCGAGAAAGGTGTAGCACAATGTATTTGAAGTGGCATGACTCATGAGTGCAACAGTTGGGTATAGCAATGCCAAATGAGAGATACAAATAAAAGAATGAGGTCATATGAGGGAATCGGAGAGTGCCTAATGGATTGTCGCCCTTATATTTTGAGTTAGTCAACATGATCTTAGTAGAGATATAAACATACGATGAATAATCCACAGCCATTATACAAGAAAAATCATTCAAGTAAGTATCGCCCTCTTCAGAGATCAGATACTTCTTAGTAGCACTGTGGTAGAGCTCATGGTAGAAGAGGTCGGGTAAATAATATGAGGCGGTCGTTCTTTGCTTGTTCTCCCTCCTCCTCTAACCTCAAACCTTCCTCTTCAATTATGGTGTTTTCTCGAATTTCCGAACTATTGCAGACATAACAGGGGCCCATTGCAGTTACCTTTGGCCAGTAATCTTCTGCAGCCTGGAATTCTTTGCCTTTGGGGGAATTAGTGCAGGCCTGAGGGTGTCCATGCCACAGGGCATCAAATCCCTCCTCAGTCCATGTACGGTCCACGGTAGACTGTTCGGGTGTGATAATATCAATGTAAACCATTGTCCAGAATAGTCTCCTCGTACAGCTTGTCTTTTAAAAGGGTCTTACAGATCTTTAGAGGTGTTACTGAATTTGAAAAGAGTTTTTCTGTCCAGGAGGAATTCGCTCTTTTATGAAAAAGGGAACTTTAAATTCGGTGTAGATTCCGTAGATTCCGTAGACACAGTTAGACTCTACTTCCGGTTGGAGTTTGTGACTCGAGTCATACTTGGATTGTTGTCGACGAACCAGCGCGTGAGGTTGAGTCAAATGCGTTCAGCAGGTAACAGCATACATAACTTAAACTTGAGTCTATTGCAGGAAAGACATAAAATTCGAGGAACTTACAACTGCTACAGGTTTGAAAGTATGATACATCCACGCCGTAAGGAATCAGCCGAAGTGACTACATCTACGCCGAATGAACCTTCCGTCATTTGGGCTCCTCTCTTAAGGACTATCATTCTTTCTGTATGACTGGAGAATAGCGGCTAGCAGTCGCTGAGACAACTCGTCATATCACGCATCATGTCTTGTAGAGCTCTAAGTATTGTGACAATAGACATTAAACGGCTCCCTAGCCTACTAAGGGTTTCACAGGTATGAAAAAATAGTACTCTTCAAAATTAGGTAGTCAAATAAGTCGTATAGATAGTTCACTGAGATAGTGTGATTCGTCCATGAGAGAAAGAAATATTCTTCTATGAAATAAGTATGAATATCTATCAAAGACAAGATACTAGATAAAGATTAGTCGAAATGAAGTTTTTTTTACCAAGATTGGCATCCGTGAACTTTATACACTTCCCGGCCGATTCATACTTGGCTATTAAGCTTTGAAGAATTGCTGAGTTAGTATTTTTGAACAGTTGAATTAAAATCTGCGCGTGTCCCGAATTTCCGTAGCACTCATACGTTCTGAACTCCCTCGTACAGTAAGCTCAAAGACACCTTTACTGGTGAGCGTACTTTACAATATTACGTGAATTACATGAAATACTTCGACATGGACTGTTCGAAACCCTCAGCTTTCAGTACCGCTGGTCAGTATGTGAATTTGTAGGTTCGCTTCCAAGTTCGTTTTCGTACGACAACGTTACGAGCGGCCTCAACGTACGGTAGCCATATATGTGACACTGAAACGTCGTTGTATAATAGGAGTAGAGTGCAATATAGAACTACTAGAGTCCAATAACAACGTGATAGGCTGTAAACCTGTGGATATGACCTGTTTTGTCTCACAGTGCAAGTAACCTAAGAATGGTGCCAAGAAAGGAGTGGTGGAAAGGTCTGATGTAAAAAAGATGAAAAACCGGATGTAACGGGATGAATTGGTACTGGTGGTGGTACATAGTCGGGACTTCCCAGGAGTAGAACCACAGTCATCTGTGTCATTGCTCCGCTCGCGACTAAGGTACCTGTATTTCTTGTATTGAATCGCTCGAACGGCTAAACGTTTCTTGCATACAGTAAGAAAGTAAAAGCTGTGCGGCTGGTAATGTTCCTCGATGATGAGCGCGTTGTCGTAGAGACTAGGGAGGGGTGGGATGGGTGCTGAACTGGTGTGATTGATGATGCTGATTATTTTCTTGAAGAAATCCAGACTACATTCACTGCAAGGGAAGATCGACAGCATCTACTGTACATTTTTGTACTGGTAGGTTACAAAAGTAGGTTGGTTGTACGTTAAAGGGTTGGTGTGTTCTCTAAAAAGACAACTGGGAGGTCTGGAAGTGAGTCCAGCCACAAAGGAATATTAAGCACGGGCCATACACCGTGTTTGGGCGATGACGTATCGAGCTCAAGGCGTTCACGGCCCGTCGCATATAGCTCTCCCACCTTTCCCCTTCGCTTTCTCACAACAACAACACAACAACACAACAAAATTAATCTACGCTTCTCTCTGCCAGCAGCAGAGCATTGCTTTTAACGGACTCACTATCGATTTTGTAAATCCATACTACCGCAAACATGCATCGAACCTACTCTATGCGTCAGTCGAGGGCGCCAACCGCCTCGCAAATTCAGAACCCTCCTCCTCCGCCTTCTTCCACGAAGACAGGTCGGTTCTTCGGAAAAGCCAACATTGGTAGGTTGAAAGCATCCTGTTTTCCAATCCTTTCCAACAGAAATTCTTCCTACCGTGTTCCTGAGGTCCAAGGCAGCTGGTTGCACCGGTGACCCCACCTTTGCTCAGGCAGAAGCCCGTTAAAAATCGGCGATGTTTTCGATGATCCCGATCTTTATAGGTCGATAGACTGTGATTAGGTGCTTATATTTTCGCGTCACTACAGGTCACAACTTTCGGAAGTCCGCGGCTGGGGCTTTTGGCCCCGACCTTGCTAAGAAACTGTCGCAGTTGGTCAAAATGGACAAGAATGTGATGCGCAGTATGGAGCTTGTTGCACGCGAAAGGATGGAAGTCGCTGTATGTTCCCCATGTCACACAACGGTATGTGGACACAAAGCTGATTATTGAAGCAACAATTGTCTATTTGGGGCGAAGCTTGCGACGATGACGTCTCCGATGTCACTGACAAGCTTGGTGTTTTGATCTACGAAATTGGAGAGCTTGAAGATCAGTTCGTCGACAGGTACGACCAATATCGTGTGACGATGAAGAGCATCCGCAACATCGAGGCTTCCGTACAGCCCAGCCGCGACAGTGAGTTTATCTTGACACCTGTCACTTTGCAGTCGGTC